AAAAAAAAAAAAAGCATAATATGTTCATTCTTGCTTGTGCAAGCTTCATGTTAGCTACTTCGTGGGTGGCTAATTTGGGGAAAATAGAAAGGCACCCAATTTTAGAATTCCAATAGCACCAAATGGATTTGAGTTCCTGATTTTTTTTTTGTTTTTTTAAAGATGGGATTTCACCATGATGGCCAGGCTGGTTTTGAACTCCTGACCTCAGGTAATCCACCCACCTCGGCCTCCCGAAGTGCTGGGATTATAGGCGTGAGCCACCACGCCTGGCTTGAGTTCCTAATTTTCAAAACCACAGTCCCAATTCTCCACAGACCCAGATCAGATGTCCATGCTCTACTGCCGTGGGTTACCTTCCTGCTCCTGTGACCAGTGGCTTTCCCATACCCTTCCTTCCCTGCTTCTTCGGTGAGAAAGCTGGGGGCCATGCAGCCACACTCACCCAGTTGGACTCCTTGCCCCATTGCTCATTGCCTGTTTGATCTTGAGCAGATTGCTAAATCTTTCTGAGCCTTAGTTTTTCCACCATGAATTGTGAGTAAGAATAATTTTGATCTCAGCGGATTAAATAAAAGTTTGCAAACATAATTTACGCACTTTGTAGGCACTTCCCTCTCTGCCTCCCAAATTGCTTGAAAGAGGGTGAAAGGAGTCGGTGTCAAAGAATTCAAACCCAACTCTCTCCTTCTTGTCCTCACTGGCCAGGCTAGGGACCCATTGGCCAATATGTGGATCTTCAGAGTAGCTCTTAGTCAACGAGTAACTCTTCCTTCCCACTCCCCGTGGTCTAGGGGCCTGGTGGATACTAATCTGGACCTCCCCAACCCCTCAATCCACTGACTGGCCTCGGTGTTGGATGGCCCTCCTCTGCCTCTTTGGCCTTACCTCCATCAGCCCCTAAATAAAAGTCAACCATGCTTCAGAAGAGGGGGTGGGTCCCTGGCCTGGGCAGGGTTCTGAGCAATTCTTCATATCCTAATCGAAATTGAAATCTTCACACACGAATTTTTCACTAGTATCTGCACATCCTAGTGTGTGGAGCGGTGTCCCGGTGGAGGACTCCTTTGGGATGACCAGGGTGACTGAGGGCTGCAGTTGGCATCCACAGCCTCTGGAGGCCCTGACATCTATTTAGCAGTCTGGATTCTATTTAACCCCAGTTGAGCCCCTCTCAGGCCTCAGGACCCTAAAGCCACTCCTGCCCTCTCTGTCTCTCTTTCCCTTGCAGGAGCTCCAGCGCCACCTCCAGCTTTCAGTGACTGTCGGGAGCAGGCATAGGGATGGAGGAGAGGAAGGACAACCATGAACTTGGTGGCCCAGGCCAGCCTGTGGACACATTTATGCCCAGTGTGCATTCCTCCCTAGGTCTGTTCCAAGCCTGGAGGCAGCAGAGTGTAGTGGAGAGAAGAGTGGACTTGGAATCTCACCTCTCAGAGTAGAGCCCTGCATCTGACTTTGATTGCTGGTGCTGCCTTGGGAAGTTACTTTAGCTGTGTGCACCTCCATTTCCCCATGAGTAGAGCCTTTGGATGGGCAGTGTCTGATACTGTGCTGTGCTTTATGTTCATGAGCGTGCACACATAGGCCCAGAAGATCATGTCTCTCGTCACCCTGGCAGGTAGACATTATTGCCCCAGGTTTCAGGTAAGAAGACTAAAGACCAGGGGTCAGATTGCTTGCTTAGAGTCCCACAGCCAGCAGCAGCCGAGCAGGACAGGAAGTCAGAATCTAGATTCCAGATCTTGCCCTCTTCCAAGTGTACCACATTCTTCTCAAAGTGGCCTTGTAGGTCTTTTGTCTGGAAAAGTTTGAGAGTTTGATGAGGAGCCTTTATCTGCACAGTGGGAACTGGGCCAGATAATGCTGTATGTCCTTCCAGGCCTGGTATTGTGAGGCTGAAGCCCATGCCCCACACTCCCATCCTCACCCCTTAGAGAAAGATACAGACTCCAGGGCCAGCCTGGTGGGTGCTGAACCTGCCTTGCTGAGCCAAGCCCAGGAGGCGGCCAAGGTTCTACTGGCGACCTTACCCTGGGGGGCCCTCCAGGTAGGGGCCTGGTTGGAAAAGGAAGACCGACTTCTTGGGTGGGTGGAAAAAGATGACATACTCATAGCCTTGACCTTCCACTTGGATGCACCTGGTGAGGATGCGCCAGTCACCTTTGCCTGGGGAGAGATAAGCAGTGTCACAGCCAGAAAAGGCGGGGTGTGGTCAGGAGGCAGCACCGTGTGGTTGAGTCTTGCCTCTGGTACAAGGTTAAGAAGAGAAAACCAGAAGACACCAGGCCCACCCCCAGCGAGCCTTCCCTCTGGGAGCAGAGGCACAGTTGCTGTCCTCACAGAGCCCTTCTGTCTAGGGAGAAACACGCAGGAAGTGTCCTGGCTGAGAATGGAGCTAGGATCAGGGCTAGGGCAAGACTTTAGGAGGCCGTAAGCATTGAAAATTGAAATGTAATTATGTAATCCACATATACTTCAAAAGAATAATACTAAACAGTAAAATGAGAGCAGAAAAGTCCATCAACGTTCTGATTTGTTTTCTAAGACAACTACCACTACTACATTCTTTTTTTTTTTTTTTTTGAGACGGAGTTTCGCTCTTGTTACCCAGGCTGGAGTGCAATGGCGCGATCTCGGCTCACCGCAACCTCTGCCTCCT